ATGGTAACTCACTTTACTTTTCCACCACAATATTGGCACTGAGGGCCTTGCCATCCGTCATTGCACAGGCACGTTCCATTCAGGCAGATGCCATTGCCACATTCAACGTCTTTACACCGGTCCAGTGAACATTGTGCTAAGGATGCTAAACCAAAAACGATTACCAGTAGCAGCAGCGGAACGAAATTGGTAGCCACCTTAGTAGTCATTGTTGGAGCAATCCGTTTCCGTCGATATTTGGACTTGAACAGGAACAGAAACATGTCAAACAAGACATGTTTCATGACGTGCAAAAATCGTTGCGTCTGGTCCAAATTACCGAATTTTGGACAAAAGCGAATTTGAGTCTCTTCTTTTCTTTTTCAAAAACTATTATTAAAGTTAATAGTTTGTGATGTTTATATTAGTAAATAATATTACTCATTATTATTATTGTTTACTTTTTTTTGTTAATGTCCCAAATTTCGATGATCTTGTCGTCGTTATCTCGCTCCGTCACTCTCTAATCACATCAGCTCGTCGTCTCTGTCACACTCGCACACGCAATCAGAAAACACGGTCGTCGCCTGACAGACACTAGCCACCATCAACCAAGATCATAATAATTATTATGCAATTACGGATAACCGTTGTCCGTAGTCCATACTCTGGGATGAAAAAGCTAAACGACAGGCTCCCTGAACCCCCAGTTAACTCAAGATCTAAATGATACGAAAAGTAGTTTTATAAATCTTTGGGATCTAGTTATCACTTATCAGTGAAACTAAATAACCATGAGGAACTAGTTGACTATAGGAGAATTAGTTGTCTTGGGATCAAAATTACCATATTGCAATAATATGCACTAATAATGCACTATGCATATTATTTTGTATTTTAAGTTAAAGAATAATTTATGGAAATATTTATGAAAAAAATAATACAATCAATATAATAGTTTTAATTCTTTTGAAGATTTCAAGTTTTTTTAGAAACGCATAAACCCGTGTGTCACCCCGGCGTCAGGCACCATGCGTCACAGCTTTTCCCAATGGTTTTAGTTATTTTGTTAAAATAAAAAAATATTATTCATATTGATTTGAAAGTTTTTGCCGTTATATATATATTATTATGCGATGACATTTTTAAAATACTTTGATTAAAATTAAACTTTTTATACTACGAACCTATTTACGCCGTTTTATAATTTATAGTACCTATATAGATCGGCTACATCAATTTTATCTTATAAGAAATAACAGACGTATTGGCTGTAGCACAGCAGACATAACTTTTAAGCAATAATTAGCTGTTATTAATTCAGTAACACTCATAGATATTATCTATTATGGTGACACCGAGTTTAGTAAAAACAGATGGTTCCATTCTAACCAAAGCTCAACCACCCACCCATTACATCATTTAAAAACTATATTGTAAAACTATTTTAAACACCAAACCATGCAATAACAAATTTTATTAAACAAATAAACATTTTATTTTATTGCTTGTACCTTTTTCAAGAATACCTAGTTACTGTTTAGGGTTCACAAAAAATTTGATTGTATATTCGCAAGTTTGAATACAATTGTCAATTATCATCTATTAATTATATAATCAGGCATGTTCTGACGAAAAGATTAATAAACGTAGATGATAGAATATAGARACCACGGCTTCTAGCTAAAGCCGTGATAGAGACTGCTRAGATTGGGTATTTTTAAGGACTTAAGGTATCTTCGGACCTTCGGTACATTCCAGTTATACGAAAATACTRCTATTATGACGACTACCTACCACAATTATAGCCACGGACTAAGATATAGATATAAGTATATCTTAGTCCGTGATTATAGCTGAACGATATATCCATGTGCGGCTGATTGAATCATGTTTACTCTCCTAAATACAATATTATTAAATATAAAAAAGGAACAACAATTTATTCAAATTTTTGACGGGTGCATTAGAAGATCCTCCAAAACGGTCAAAACTTTTGTTTTATAAGTATTGAGGTTATTACACGAGGTATTGAGACTTAAAGATTTTGCTAAAAATATATAATCCCACCCCCTCCCAAACCTAATTCCTAATTACACCACTGGATGGGCATACATAACTCTGGTGAACTTGAAAAAGCTGGRTTTAAACATTTGTAATWAAACCACAGAAAACGCTATGTAGATTCTCAAACAGAAGCACATACTTAAAATTTAGAACGTCTCTGRGGATCAGCAAAATGGCAGAACRAAAACTATCGTGGCACAATGTGCCATCATCTAAAGTGAGTAAGTGACTAGTGACTATCACTATAATGTCATATTTATCTGAATTCATGTGGAAATAAACGCAAAATATAATAAATCACCGACATTTTAAAAATAAAAATCCAATTTCCTCCAACACATAATTACTAATGAAGCACGTTAAAAAACATATAATTTTTGTAAAAATTTGATTTATTTTTATATAAATTTGATTTATTTTTATATAAATTTTTTACACTAATAACATGTACAACGCTGCAAGATAATTAGTATTTGTAATTAGATAATTGGGATGGTAGTCAGAAAAAAAGGTACGGAAAAAAGCCAAGAAAAAAAATCCATGGAAAAAAACCACGGGAAAAATAATCCACAGAAAAAAAAGCCATGGGAAAAATAAGCCACGGAAAAAAAGTCAAAGTACAATAATTAAATAAATTAAAATTAAAATTAAAGTATTAAATTAGGTATTATTTAAAAATTGTTTACACATTATTGGTAAAATATATAAAAAATAATTATAAAAAAATTAAATCTAAAGTATTATTCAACATTTTTAAACATTGGTCATATTGTATACATATATAGGTTAAGTTGTATATATATATAAAATTATTAATACACAGGTTATATGTTAATTAATTTAAAATTTTCAACACATTGTGTTGTCCATATTATAATATAAATTGAATAAAAATAACTCAAYATTTTGTGGATATTATCTTGAAATCAATTGATTTATGTCTTACACCCTAAATGGCTATATATGTATAAGTATAAATAGTATAATCAAAGGTGGGAAAGTTAATGGAAAAAATTAACTTTGGCAAGTTAAGTTAATTCAATAAAATTGCCTTCAATTAAGTTAAAAGTTATTAAAAAAAAAAATTAACTAGATAAGTTAAAAGTTAAGATAGAAAATAAAATTAACTTAACTCA